AAGGAAGGCATTGGTCATCACAGAGGTTCAATTAAAAACTTATGCAGCTCCATATTTCCTGACTGAGAAGCACTTAATAATTTTATTATCTCCCTTGACATCTTAATTTTGAAGTAGCACTGTTTGGGCAAATGGAGCCCTATATTTGTGAGACTGAATGAAAACTGGTCAATGGGCAGGTGTTTAAAGTGAATGAAGACCTTCTAGACCAAACCTGAGCTCCTTGGCTGTGGCCAGATTCAGCTACATGGATACTACTCGTTCCAAGGAGGAGATAGAGGTGCCATGTTCTTCTGATGTTCCAGTGTCATTATTTCAGTCACTCTGAGCTGAACAAGACAGCCTTCATGATACAACACATCTATTCCAAACCAAGAAAGAGCCTCTGCACACACTTACTCTGTCATCCTAGGGTTGTCTCCTGTTTTTGCCAAACACTTCATTGTGTTTTCTTGACACAGAGTTTAGTGCTTGCACTAATGAAACATTATCTCCCCTTTTCCTGGAAACATTTTCAGGGCAGCAGGGTGAAACCAGTGTCATTGATTTTATACTAGACCAGTAATACCATTTTAAGGGATGAATCCCTTGATGACTGTGGCACATCGAAGTGCTGATGCAAGGGCAGGGGTCAGGGGGTTGGATTCTCCAGTCCATCCATGCTACTCAGTTATTTTCTAGTACTGCATGAAAGCTGTAACTTGTTCCTTGGCTTTAGTTCCCTCTGTAGGGTCCAGATGCACCCTCCCTGGTTGTCCCTGGGGCATTACCAGGAGGGGGAGGAGTGGTCATGAGCTCCATGCCTACCTTCTTCCCAGTTGCCTAAGCCAGCTGTGCTAGTGATTTCTCATCACTATAAAACAGTTTGAAGCGTCTTTTGCTTTATGCCAAGGACTGGTGTAGGCAGTGCCCAGCACAGACAGAATAAAACACTGACCTTTGCCATTCTGTTCTCATAACTTGCAAATGAGCACAGCTTAGCTGGTCCAGGACCCTGGCCAGCATGTGACAAAAGAGAATGAGGAGTTAAGTGTTCCCTTCCTCTCCCAGCTATCTGAAATTCATTTGGCCACTCCATGGCTGGAAGCCACTGCACCTGTGAGTATATCCCAGGGGGTCACTGCGGCCTGTCTGCCTTAAATGTCAAAAAATTCAGCAAATCCTACAGTGGGAAAATGAAGAATAACAAAGTCTGCACCACTGGATATTCATTTTGGATAGTAAAACACTATTTATTTTCCTTTAATTATAGAGCAATCATGCTTCTCTGAAATAAGGCTTTCAGATTTCACTAAAACTTCTCTCTTAATTGGATGTTTGTGAATGTAAAGATTTCTACCACGACTTGTAAAATGAAACAAAAACATAATTTCTACATTAATTTAATTCTTCTATTTCCAACCATTTTCTCACAATCAGGTTTTCTTGATATGCTTAATCTTTTGCAATGGTTTCCATGGCAACTCCTGTTCATTGTGGTGACACCAAGGACTCCAGTAATCATGAAGCCAAACTTTGCCAAGGGATTGGCTTTTGCTTTTTTCCCGCTGGCTCCACCACGGCAGCCCTTGCTTGCTTCCTCCTGTGTGTCCCACCTTCCCAACAGGCACACGACAGGCAGGGGTAGGAAACACACAAGGTTACCAAGGTTTTATGATCAGTGCTACAGGCAAGGCTCCCTTTTCAATTCCCGTTATACATTGCTGTTTACTGCTGCATTCCCAGTAAATCCCCAACAGAAAGGTGAGGTTCTCATAGCTGCTCATCCTCAGAAACACAAAATGTTCTCCTGGCTGTAGAGTCCAGCCCTGCAAAGCAGCACAGCCTTTCTCCAGCACCGCTGGTGTTCAGCGCGGCGCTCAGCCGCGGGGCAAGCGCGAGTTACCCTGCGCTGCCCTCGCCATCCCAGCCCTACACACACTCACAGCCTAACTCTGCCCTACAGCACGAACCACGGCTGCCTTCTGTAGCTCTGTGAAAATTGCTGACACCAGACTGAAGTGGCTCCAGCAGCGTTTGCTTACACACTGCAAGAGCTGTACTTTGTTGCTCCAATTTCCTTCCTACAGTTTACCTCCCCCTCCTCCAGACCAACCAGCTCTAAGGAATGGACTATGTGACTGGCAAATCAAACATTATTATTAATCGCTGTAATTACTTTTCTTGGCCCAATTGCAGAGCCTGGGAAGCTAACCACAGTCTCTAGAGTGCAACCTTAACTACAACATGTTTCTGAGCCACCATTACCTCATTGTTAGTCATGTTTAACCAGAGAGAATTGTGAAACTTTTTTTTTCCCTGAGCCCTCTCAAATCACGTATGCTGCACAGATCAGTGTGAGAATCTCTACATATATCTCTCTGGGCTTCCATCTAACCACTGACTTTGCCAAAACCCCAAGTGTCCAGCTCAGGCTGAGGGATAGACAAGTATTCTTTCTTCCCCTAGTCACAAATGGTGTAAATGGTGTAAAAACAGCAATGATAAAATTTTCTATCTTTGAATGCTTACAGAAGGAAAAATGTCCTCTTCTGAAAGGCATTGGTTACAGGGTAATTCACTGATGACTGTGAGGTCAGCGAACACTGTGCCTCTCAGCACACTCCCTGCTCCTCATGTCCATCACCAGCTCCTCATGTTCAGTGTGAGAGGCCAGGGCATGATTCCAGCACTTTTTACTTGTCCCATGTATTCCTGCCTGACCCATGCATCATTCTGCACAAGCATGTAACTATCCCCAAACTTAATTTTTTTTGAAGGTTTGCTTGTTTCTGGACTCAGTGATTGATCTCACCTTGTCACCATACAGGTGCTAGTATCAGCAAGAGGCAAGGAGCAGGAGTAAGTTCAGGTGAGAGTGAAGTGGAGGAGACCTTTTGTTTCAGATGACATTTTATGCATTTTTTTTCTTACATATTTACCATACTGTGTATTACTTTAAAGTAAATGTACAGTAAAAAGGAAAAATTTTGTGGCTGCACCTTCTACTCCTGGGACATCAGAATCTTTTTTTAGATTAGTTTCATTTTCTTTCTGAAGGGACTCACAAAACTATTTTACAGCTAGGAATGAACCTATGTTTTTTACTGCACAATATGACCAGAGACAGATTAAACACTCAAACCTGCCTTCGGCTTGAGCTGAAATTGTACCTGAGGTTTTCCACATTAAAACAGAAAAATTACAGACATGTGGCAACATCACAGCCCTTCTCAGCCACCCAATCAATGTGGTTGCTATATTGTCATGAATGTGACTGGCATTTTTCAACCTCTGCTCTTCTGCTAAGAGGTACTTTGCAGCCTAAGTGAAAAGGGCTGATGATTATAGAGCCAGCTGGGTGAGGGAGAGGGAGGGAACATCTCAGACACATTTTAGCCAGAGTTTCTTCATCATCAAGCAGAAGGAATTCTGGTTCTCATTGTCTTTGTACAAGCAGGGGTAGGCAGCTTGGTGCTAATTGCCAGCTACCTGTGAACACTCGAATTAAAACTCAGCAGCCACTCTGGGGCTTTTCAGACTTGAGTGAAATGGCAGGAGGATGCTGCAGAGGCAGAGGACTGCTCGCTGTCCATGGGTAAAATCAATTGACAGGAGGGCAGAGGAAGGCCCTGGCCAAAGCAGCGAGGCAAGAGCAGCTTAGTCCTTCCCGTGGCACTGCCTTGCACCCATGGCCAGCCGCCCTGAGGGAAAAGCCTGGGGCTTTGCAATTGTTTGAACGGCAGAAGAGCTACACCTTCAGCTCTGAGGTTAACCTGGGGGAGAAATGCAGCCACCATCAGCAAGGAGCTGTGAGCAGCAAAGGCACAGGGCTCCGTGCTCAGTACACCGAACTCATTCATGCCCTTGCTAAAGGTGCCTCTGCCAGGGACTCAGCTCAGTGCAAAAGGTTGTTACTGTTTCCCCAGTTACAGAGAGCTCTCCTGAGCAATCAGATATTCAAAACAACTCTTTCTGCCATGCTTGTGTACTCTGCCAGGCACACATGATGCCATGGTGGCATGTGATGCATGTGAAAGTGGTGGACAATCATCCCTGCATAAGAAAGTTGTATCCGTAGCAGAGAGCAGCAGTTGTTCCTGTGTTCATAAGGGACACTGAAAAGGCTTGGATTAATCATTGCCAAAGAGCAGGTAACTGAAAAAAGTGAGAATTTTCATGACTACTTAAGTGGGACAAGAAAATGTGCTAGTTTGACCTTTTGCAAAAAACAGTGTAGACCTGAAGGTCTAGTAAGGGTCCTTCTGGCCCTGACCTTTTTTCTTAGAGGTGTAAATATTACTATTTCATTTCTAAAACTTGAATTAAAACACTGTGAGGAAAAATGTGTTTGTAATTATTTACAGGCAGGAAATTTTATATTCAAGAAGAGAACTTAATGAACGTTCTGGCCCTAGAAATATTAGTAATGAATCCTCCAGTCTATATTTCCCAAACATTTCTCTGCTGCAATGTTGGCCAAGCTTTTCTGTTTTAACAGTTGCATTTTGGTCAGGCACATGTAAAAGTACATTTTGCACTAAAATGGAACCTTTGCTAAAGTGCAGCAGAAGAAACCAGCTCTGACATTTTTATGATCCCCAAATACAGACAGCCATTCAGACTACAGATACAGGAGTCATCATTCATATAGTCCTTGCTGCTGTTTTGGTTTGGTTTTCTGCCGCAACTGTAAGGGGATCTTGCTTTTAGCAAGTTCCCCATCTAACAAGATTCCCAGTCAAGACCTGGTTGGGAGAGCATTTTGTATTCAGGCACCTCTGATTTGAAGAACCCTGTTGTAAATCCACAGTATCTAGTTCTTGAGTATTATTTTTTTTTTTTTTTTTTTTTTTTTCTTTTTTTTTTTTTTTTTTTTTTTTTTTTTGCTCTTCCCAAATCCTGACTCTCAGTGAGAGGATATGCACATACACCTGGTGCAAGCTTTGAGGAAGTTTTCTTTCAATTTCCCTTGAAATTCCTGCTAAGGTAAGTCAATGGGAAGACTGACAGCAGAGCACACCACCAGAAAAGACTCTTTATTCTTCCCTCCAGTCACATTGGCTGTCCTCAGTATGCAGTGAAGGCACAAGGGAAGCTGCAGGCACCTTATGTTGCAAGTTCTCCTTTCCTCCAAGGACTGTCACTTTCAACAGCCCTGTGTAAGGAAGGAATACAGCACATTAACTAATTTATCAACATTTACATTGCAAATATTATCTAATTAAATAACACCACTTCTTTAGGACTTACTGTATATCTCTAGCAAGAGTTTACTAGCTGGATAAAATATCTCAAAGGAACTTAGGAGTTTAGCTTTCCAGTCACTCATTCCATTTGGTGTTATCTATGTTTAATTTTTTCTCCTCCACCTACAGATACACAAAGCAATGAAAACAAGCTGCAAATCCACATACTTGCCTTTGCAGTCTCTGATCCTTAAGACAAATGTACAGTTATTAAATCAGTTATCAGACACTTACAATCTAAGTGTTGTTAATGGATTTTTTTTCTCCTTCTCCTTTTCACTCTTCATAATTAATGCAACATTTGTTCACAGAAATGCAGCTCTGGCTGATGCAGCAGCATAAGGAAACCAACTTACCTGAAGCAAAATAATAACAGATCTTTGGGGAAATCACACCATAAAGAGGCCAAGAGTAAGAAAAGCAGAAGTTTAGAAAGCTGGACTGAAATTAATCCAAGGAAAACATGCATACACCAGCTACTTCTTTTCAAAGGAGGCAGGTGGCAGGCTTACATCCTCCTGTTCTTCAGCTCCCCATTTCCTTTTGTGGTCATTTTTCATATGAGTCTCTTCCTTTTGTTGCAAGGGAAAACCTGAATATATTCTTTCTGTACTGTGCTTGCAGTTTCTAACTCAGCTTACACATAAAATAATTCAACCGCAGCTTCCTACATTCCAAGTTTATCTTGCTTCTGCAATCACTTTCCTCTCCTCTCTTTTGGATACTTCAGCATCAGGAGGATGTGGGCAAATCAAAGGGAACTGAGAGAAAACAAGCTGAAGGAATTAAGAGACTGAAGGTACATTAAAATCTGGGTAATTTATGACATAGTGAAATGCAATATCTGTCCAACATTCATGTATTTGGCATGAAACAATAATTGAAAGATTCCATCCTAGACTCTCAGTGTCTTAGCATGCTGTTAGTAGCAAAACTCAATCACAGATGTATTGAACAATCAGTTCAGGAGAGTTCAGTCAGTCAAGCACACATAAAAACCTCCTGCATTTCTAGTGCTAGGAAATCCATGCTTATCTCCTTATTATTTTTAAAATTCTATCAAGAAGTTCTTCTGTGTGGCCTGAGGTGACCAAATTCCAGTTACTTGAGACCATAAGAAAATGAAATATACTGGCATTTAAATATTGCAAGAATTCAGGAGGCAGAACAAATACTGAAAGTAGTAAGTGAATGTAGATCTGGGGCTGGACTAAAGAGAAAGTATGTCACATAAAGGTATTAGAAGCTCAAATCTTAATAATGAGATAATCATCTAGAAAATATGTAATTTGTTGTTAAAATATTTTAAACCTGAATATTCTGAACTGGAAATACTTAAATTATAAATACAATGCAGGATTTGCTGTTACTTTACTATTATTCCTATTGTTTTTAACAGCACAAAGAAAGGGCAGTGTGGACAAATACTTAGAGTGGTTATTCAAATGACTGCTTCATATGCAATAAAAAATAAGGTTCATAATTTGCCAAAGTATAAATTCAATGCTTTAAAAGTTGTTCTTAGTTCTAGGGTCATTTGCTTTAGTATGACTGCATAATAGCAGGGGCAGAAATAGATGAGGCTCTTGTCCTCAGACAGAGCACACATATTTTGGATATATTTGTTCATCTCTGAGGACAAGGAAGCTATAATGTTATTGTAATTATGGGTTATGTAAGCCTTGTTCAGCTTTATGATACACAATATGCACTTATGTAGTTGGATAATAAAAAGTTGTGTCTTATTTGTGTTAAAAAGCTTTTGCTTTAGCCTAGAGAGGCATTCACAAGAACATCCTCTCAGGTGCTCTTGCAAGTATTCATGCTGCATCTCAGTGGATAGCTCCTGTTGCATTAGATCTTAAGGCAGTGCCATTTCAGCACTGAAATCTCAAGGAAGAAATGAGTAATATCTAAAAAAAGCAAACCAAACCCAACCATTCCATGTGTTGCACAGCTAGTGAAGCCTTGCTGCAGCTGAATTTGTATACTTTGTTCTCCAGTATCACCAGTAACTCTACATTTCTTCCTAATCTCATACCTTCACATCCCTAAATCTTCCCCACAAGTGCAAGACTAAACCACTACTGTGTGGAATCTCCCAATGCTTCCATGATGTGTTCCTTCATTAGCTGCAACTGCCTTCAATGTCCCTGCACCCACTGAGCTCTCTGGTCCTTCCAGAAGCTTTCCTCCTCCTCTCTGCTCCCTATGCTGCTGCTCTCTTGCCTCACAAAGTGGGGATTGCCCACTAAAACAGCCTGAGATATTTCCTTTTATCACTAAGGAGGCTTTGTCAGATCTTGCAAGTAGGCAGGGGCTGGAGGGATTGATAGTGCAGGGCTTCATTTGCATTCACTGTCAGCATGTCTGTGGCCAGAAGCCCAGCCAGGGAGGATGGATCTCTCATGCTACAGCTGAGCTGTGAGCAGGCTGATCTGGACAGAACTGTCTCTTCTGAATAGGATCTTTCTGCATTGGTAAACATCAAATTTGAATACACTTGATATCTCTGAGACATTTAAGCCTTTTTCAGATTTGCTAAACTTTTGTCCCAACTTCTAAAACTCCTGGGTGAAGACATGAGTAGATAGACAGATGGACACAGCCAAATAGCTCTGTTTGCACATCTCATCACATTTCATTAGACAACTAGGGTAAGAAACTAAGAATTTGAAAAAGCAGCACTGCCTCTATCTCACCAAAGCAGCTACTGAAACAATATAGGATTTGTCACCCCTGTTTCTCAGAAAAAAAGGCTTACTTCCATAATTAGTTCTATGCTTGCTGGACCAAAGCATGAAATCATATTTTTCTCATCCAACTTATCTGGACATCACTGTCTCCTAATTTTCTAATTTTCTCTATTGAGGGAACTCAGATACACACACACACATGCCTAAAATGCCTATGTCTCACTTGCTTGGTCAGTAATTTAGCATAGTTATTTAAGAACTAATTGGAAATTATTTTTTTCCTCAGGAAAGCAAAACTATTTCCAACATCATAAAAATTTTAAATAATCCAGGTTGGCAATTTAAAGTTATTACTGGATTCATTAGGGCTTCAATATCCTACCTACTGCTGAGCTGCTGACAGGACAAGATTTAGCTGAAATCAGTGGATCCAATTAGAGCCAGGGGTTCACACATTGAGCACTTCCAGAGTACAAATTATTGGTGACATTTCTAAACAGTGATTGACACTGAAGCTAGCACAGGTTTCCTATGCTGCAATGGAACATTATGAAAATAACTGAACTTTATAACCTTTCCATGGTACTGGCAAATAAAAAAATCAACTTCCACTTATTTGTTATCGTTCATTTTTCAGCATAGACTTTTTTTTTTTCCAGAACAATTGGACAGTCCCAACATAAATCAGGATTCTAAGTTGTATTCCAATTTATCAAGGCTGTGGTTGCAAAGGGCCACCTTTAGACATGAGGATTGTTAGATTTACCTCTGTGCAGAAAAATCAACCTACTACAAAGATACTAATAGTTGCTTAGGTCTCCATTATCAATACACTACTGTGAATAAGAATAGGTGCAAATAGGACTGTGTATACTCATTTTCATCTCTTATGATTTCTTTGGAATGTTTTTCTAATCTAATTAAAATTCATTTTGGTATGTCATTTATTAGCCCAACTGATTCCCAATTATATCTCCCTGTAAACTTTGTCTCTGTTAGAATATTGTTAGTGAATTCCAAATATAAATAATTAATAAGACAAGCGTGCCTTTCTTATCATGGCTTGCCTGTTATCAACAGACTCACAATTCACATTTGGTGCTGCTCACTTTGCTTCCAGCAGCCACTCAAATATCAGTCCTTCTGGCTGTTATTGCAAAGGAAGAGATTTAACCATCTTGGATGTTCTACATGGTAAGATAAGGAGGCATGCATGTGTGAGAAGTCAAGGTCAATTATTTCAGTATGGTTTTTCTGTTATTGGTATAAAAAATTGTCAAAAACTTAGGCTCTGATCCTATAATTATTTTGTGTGGAAAAATCATATGGATATCAAAGCAAATTAGTTTAGCACAGAGAGGAGTGCAAGACCAGGCATCCAGCAAAATGTTTAATATTTAAAGTGTATCATTCTTCACAATACTGCTCTGTCAAAGTAAATGAAGCAGAGTAATGTACATTGGGGGGGGGAGGGGGGGGAAATCAACCAATTCCATTTCTGCCTTTCCCATATAAATAAATACTAAAGATTCCAAGACATGAAAGGATGCCCTGAGGAATAAAACCTGATTGGTAAAATTTTGCCTAAGGTGTTGTAATAGACACCACTGAATACATGTTCAGTCACTGAGTTTCCACTACATTCCTCATTATAACTGCAACTGGCTGAATTATTCATTAGAGATAACACACCCTGTGAATTTATCATAATATTATTTATACAGTAGAAATAATCACCTAAAGCTGATGGCATTTGTTTATGTTTTCCACTATGTGGCCAAAACTTGGTATAGCAGGGGCACATTTCTCATTTGCAAACTGGCCAAAAACAACTACAACAACAATATTAATACTTAAAACAATGATAATAATATTAATAATAATAATAATACTTTCTGCTCTAATCTGCAAATAAAGTCTCATTCTGTCTGAGTCCATAAAAGCATCACTCTTCATGAGTCTAAGCAAAACAAAAAGTGGTTCTAAGTTGTATCAATTGCTAATGCATTGCAACAGAAACTCAGGGTAAGATGCCACTACTAAAGACAAAATTGAAAACCGGACAGAAACGCTCAATAAACTGAACATGCAATGCTGCTGTCAGTCGTTTACCCCAAAGGAAGTTTTGTCCTTCACATACAACAGAGCTGAGGAACATCTGTCAGTCAGCATAGGAGTCCCCATCTTCCCTGTCACTCTGTGTAGTCTGCAGT